AAGTGCTCAGCTCTTTATTGCAGTTGGACCTGAGTCCTTATTCAGGAATCTTGGGTTTTCTTTCTCTGGCTGTTCTCTTGTGTTTATGATGCTGATGTTATTGTTCATACTTCCTTCCTTCCTTTTCTTCGTGTGTGTGTGTGTGTGTGTGTGCGTGTGTGTGTGTGTGTGTGTGTGTGTGTGTGTGTGTGTGTCTCCCTGTCCTGTCTGTCACAGGTGTGTGCAGTATATTTGTTTGTGCAGACTCCTGTGGAATCTGGAGGTGAATGTTTAGTGTCATCCCTCACCCCCCCCCCATCCCTTTCTCATTCTCTATTTTTTGAGGTCGAGTCTTTCACTGAGCCTTGGGCTCACAGTTTTTGCTAGGCTGGCTAGCTAGCAAGTCCCTGGGATCTGCCATTCTCCAGGGCTGAAGTTATAAGTGTGCCCACTTTGCCAACCGTTAGGCAATACCAGCTCAGGTCTTCTTGCTTGCAAAGAAGTCACTTTACTCACAGAGCCATCTCTCCAGCTCTGTATTTTTTTGCTTTTATTTGGTCTGGCTGTTCTGGAATGTGTTCTATAGACCAGGCTGGCTTTGAACTCACAGATTCTGCCAACCACTGCCCTGCTTTCTGCTTTTAATGTAGACTTTAGGCACTGATGGTCTGAGTTCCTAAACTGCCAGCTTGCCAAGTAGTTTTGAATAAGAATTAATCTTTGGGATCTGTTAAAAAAAAAAAATGGAGATGTCACCCAGTAGGTGATGTATTTAAAGATCAAAGAATAATCCCTGAGCATTTAGTAAGGTCTATAGCCATTAATTAATTATGATAGTCACTTCCTATATCAGCTGGACTTAAAGAGCAAGCTATTCTAAACCTGGATAGATTTTTTTTTTAAGGTTATAACTTAAGAGCAGGACTCTGTTGGCGTTTCTGGCCTTGTACAGACTTGGCTGATCTTTTTTATACAAAGGTAGTCAGTCAGCTGTTAGCCGGCTTGGTGCTGGTTGGTATTGGATGGCTACACTTAGATGTTCAGTGCTTGACTATAGGAAACAAAGGGGTGACTGCAACCTGCAATTGACTATCCAACCAAATTCTTGGACATTAGTGTTCTCAGCAATGGTTTTCTGCATGCACACTACTTAACGTGTCAAGTTCTAGTTTCTACCCTTGTTTCTCAGAGACGTGACTCTTTGTTAGTAATGGCTGGATTCTGAGTGGACAGTACAAAGTAGTTAATTAAACATGTAGCCACAGCTCTGTCTTCACCCAGGAAGCCTTTGGATAGGCACCTGTGTGTGCTGTCTACTTTAAGACCTTTTGTTGAGTGACATCCCGAGGTAAAGACTTTGAACATTAAATTAATATTGAAGCATTATGGCACCTTGAACATTCTGCCTTAAATTTTTAAATGTTGGAAGTAATGTGAAAGACTGCAAGTGAATTTTAAATTAATGCTCATCAGTTTCAGTAAGGTTTGGTGTGGTCCTTTAGTTTCACATACATTTCTGAAGTATTGTAGGTAGTAACTAGTGGGAAGGTAGGAAATTTACCTGTTCTTTCAGCCTGCCCTGTAGGATTTGTATAGAGAATGTAGTGTTTTTCTAAATGAGAGAAGGACAGTTTCTAGTCTTTGTCCTTTTCCTATTTTTAACTTCAAGGTACTTGCAGAAAATGCTAAGATACACAGTTACAAAAGGAAGTGCTTGCCTGTGCATGTTTTGTGCTTTTATCTTCTCTTTCAGTTGCTGGCTTACTTTTTTTGGACCTACTAAAATGAACAGTGATTTATCGTGGCCGCTTGTCCCTTAAGTTTTGAGGAAATCAGAGTTAAGACTTTATAAAGAATTGAGATGCTGTGACACAGCAAGTTATGTGTTTGATGTGATGGGAAGTTAAAAATCCTCATCTGGGTCACAAGAGAACTAAATTCTAAATGTGACCTCTCATTAATGAGTTACTGGTGACCTCCGAGAAAACTTCCTTTTAGTTCAGACACCTGACCTTGGACATTTTTGTGCTGTTTCTGTTAAAGTGTGTGCCTTTCTGGAATTCAGGGAAAAGCACGGCATACATATAATTTTTTTTTTTGAAGGAAGGGAATGTATAATGTTATTTCTTAGGCTATTTAATGCCACTCAGATACTGACTTCAAGGTTAGTCACCCAGTGAACATTCAGGTTTGAAGCAGGTGTTTGTCAAGTGGGGAGGAAGTTGGGCGGGACTCAGCAAAAAGGAGACTTATAAAATCAGAACAACGAGAATGAGTATACAATAGAGTCAGTGCATGGTGCAAAATGCTGGACTAGGCACCCCAGGGTGTTGACCTCTCAGTGTGCTTGCTAAAGTCTACCCCAGGAAGGTGGAACACTCCTCTGAGAAGCTCATAGTTTTCCCACTGTGTGAAGGAATTTTATTTTCTCTTTAGAGTTCATTTTATATGAAAATTCTGTAGTAAACACCACTTTGCTCCTCTCAGAGAAGTCACGTCTCCTCACGCTGTGACATCAGATGCACAGGCATGGCCTCTCCTGGTGAAGGCTCTGGGGAGAAAGCTCAGGCCACCTTTGCTAGAATTCTCTTGGTTTGAGTGTTGTGAATCTAGGAAGGCTTCCTTGGAATTATCATACATGTTGTGTACAAAAATGTAAAGCACACATGCAGAGTTTCTTACCAGACCTTGTCTGTGGGTTGTATTCTACATTTGGATCAGTGCTTTGGTTCGAACATCTCTTGGTGAGGGGTGTGACCCACGTATGTCATCTCCATCCTTGGGTCATTAGCCCCAAGGAACAGTTAACTGCAGGACAGGAGTTTAAAGTGAGAGGGGATGGGAGTAAATTGCGTATACCTTTCAACTCACTGCATTTAAATGGAATCTCTGTTCTCTGAGTTACGTTGGAGGGATGTGGGTGGGGCAAGGGGGTGGGGAGTGTTTAACTGGAAGCCCAGAGGATGTTCCAGTGATTCCCTAAGCCTGTAAAGGGGTGTCAGGTAGCCTGGTTCCATATTAGATTGATAATACAGATAGTTATATCCCTCATTAGCTTAGCGTTTTGTTGTAGGAAAAGTGTAAAGGGAAATTTTGTTGGGTGCTCTTGATGAATGACTTAGTTGGTGCCAGACAGAAGTTTGTCTTGTGAGCATGCCATGCAGTTTCCAGTACCATCTTACTAGTGGTGTGACTGTTTGATGGGCACACAATTAATTAGGTGGGACAAATAAAAATGATTTCCTGTCCTTTTGGAACTGTTTTAAACCCATTGTTTGGGGGTGGCAGTGGTGGTAAAATTTTCATGGAAACAGGAATAACAGATCTATGCCAGTACTCAGTGCGAATAACAGGTCTATGCCAGTACTCAGTGCCACACTGGACAATGCAGTCATGCTGTTACATTCTTGAGCCCCAATCATGTGTAGCCATACTTTGGGGAAACGCCCAGTGTCTAGCTATAATGTTGGCTTTTGTATGTTGAAAGGATTGTACTGCATTATCACATCCAGTGGCAGTTAGCCGAGTAGATATAAGAGCAAAAATCATCCAGTTACTAAAAATACACATCTTGTATTTGCAAATTTAGAGAAACATTTTAAATAGTTTTTAATTGCTTTAATTCTGTGAAAGTAGTTAGGGCTGTAGGAGGAAATTGTTAAGGAAAGCCGGTTTTCTGTTTAAGGTGACATTTTGCTAGTTGTTCTAGAATTTCACTACAATGTTTTTTGATCACACTCCTTTCCAAACTCTCTCAGATCTACCCTTACCCACCCACTCCCAACTTCATGTCTTCATTCTAAAACTACCCCACCAAGTCCAGTTTGTGTTGTCCATAGCTTTGGGGTATGGAGCCACCCACTGGAACACGTTCTATCCCCCAAAAAAAAAAAAAAAAAAAAAAAAAAAAACTCACTTTGCCTCCCCCAGAAGCCATCAGCTGCTCTGTGGTAAGTGGTAGTGGCTCATGGGCCCTTTCTTGTTCATCCTGGAGTGTCAACTGGCTTGGCCGTGTGTAGATCACCACGGCTGTAAAGCTAAATCCTGAATTACTTGAACTGCCCTAGCATCCATCCGGCTGAGTAGACTTTACCTGGTTCTTAGGTCTAGTGCTTACTCTATTTCAATGCACCTGTCCCTGCTGATGGCAGTTGTACAGGAGACTTTAGTGTTGTGGTTCTCAATCTGTGGATCTCAACCCATCATGATGGTCAAATGACCCTTTCACAGGAATCACTTAAGACCATCAGAAAACACAGATATTTACGTTATGGTTCATAATAGTAGCAAAATTTACAGTTGTGAAGTAGCAGTGAAAATAAACGTATGGCTGGGGTCAGCACAACAGGAGAAACTGTATTAAACGGTCACAATGCTAGGAAGGTGGAGAACTACTGCTTTAGTGGTTAGTGAAATTCACCTTGAAGCACACAAATGGTTTAACAGTTTTAGCAATCTTCTAGCTTATACCATGTATTGATAGTTCAAGAGTCATTCAGATTAAAGTTCTAGAGTGAGGTTGATGCTTTTATTCTAGTTTGATAGTCAAAGAAACAAGGAATCCAAGATTTCTTTCTCTTATTGTAAACCAAAGCAGCTTGTTTGAACAGTATTCCCTGCACGATTATGACTGTTTTTAAATAATAATTCTCATTTGAAGATAGATGATTAGAAGATGTAAGTTACAGTAATGTTTTCTAATGGTTCCTTCTTAGTATAGTTCTACAAGAGAATAGTCCATTTCCTAATCTCTAGAGCAGGTAATAGAGATACAGGTAAAGATGGAATTCTGGGTAACTTCATCTTATCTTTAAAAATTTATCCTGGCAGAATGTGTTAGGACCAGAAAATGCAGTAGATTCCAGCCTTTCCCTTTTCATAATAGTTCTGTCCATGGCCCAGTGTTTCCAAGATCAAAGCAAGAAAGTGCAACGAATTCCCATGATTTATAAATAAAATAACCAGGCATGGTGTAAGTGATGGTGTTTTGTTAGGATCAATAAACTTGTACCGTTTTGCAGGCCTCATCACAACCACGTCAAGGAAGCTGGACCGGGAACAGCAGGATGAGCACATACTAGAAGTGAGTCTTCCTTTATTTCTAAATACTTTTAAGGCAGTCACATCCTGAACACCCCCACTTCTGTCCTTCATAGCTGCTAATATTTTGTAGTGAATACCACCACCCCACACACATACACTTCATCCCATCCTCAGAGTAAACGAACTCTGTCATAACTGCCTTTCTGAATTTTGTACTTAGCCCTCACACACACTTAGAAATACATTGGTAACCAATGTCATTTGAATCCCCTTTTTGTTTGCAGAAGTGATATTTTTCTCTGTACCTTCCATAGATTTCTTTTCCCTCAGTTACGTCTTTAAGATGTGTTTTTATATAGAGATCAAATTAAACCACTTAAACTATGTTTTGTTTATTTCCAGATGGGCTTACTCCTAAATCATTGCATTAGTCATGCAGTTTTATACTTGAATTTGTTTGTAACCTAAAGAAGTTTTCTAAAAATAGCAAAAGTTAAAATAGGTTGAAACCAAATATTGCTTCTTCTAAAATGTTCTGGATAATTTAAGATGTTTCTGCACTTAATTTCTTTACTCTGTTGTGGCTGGAGACCAGTATAAGGGTACAGTATGCAGAATGAGGGCTGGGGGTGACTTGAAGAAACCAGGTAGATTATAATATGGAGATGGATATGGGCAGCTAAGAAATGCCACTGGGTGTAGCAGACCAAGCCCGTGCCTCTGTGAGTATTTCTTATCATGTGCTAATCATGTTCAGTAGTAGCAGAGCCCGGCCTTGGCATCAGGTGCTTTGTTATTTGTGAGCTGCCTGTGGAATGTGTTCAAACCTGAACAATGTAGTTTGTAGAGAAAATTCTAAATGATGACATGCAGTTTCTTTCTTTTTTTTTTTAAAGGATCTTATAACTGGTGTTCATAATGATATCTGCCTAATTTCATCTTTGGGCAAAATATCCTGTTATCACTAAAATATTAATATTTCTTTTTAAGCCTGTGTATTTGTGTATGCGCCTGCACGCTCATATGTATATTTGTGTGAGCTACCGGCTGGTTTTGAAAACCATAGTGTTTTCCCACTAGTAGTTCGGCATTTTCATTTATAGGTTGTGTAGCACTCTTGCTACACAAGAGCAGGGTTTTGCGTTTTCATTCGGTTACTACAGAAATTGACATAAGGAAGATATGGATGCTAGAGAAAGGAAGCATGCTCATTGGGAACTCCTCCCTCCACTCTGGTTGTAGCTACAGCTTTCATGTCAGTTGTACACTTGCTCTAGGTCCCTGTTTCATAGTGAGTGGGAGCAGGCGTGAGCTTTGAAGACAGTACAAAGTGTTGAGGTGCAGTAGGAGTTTGTGTGCATGCCTTATGTGTCTGTCATTCTTTGGTGTCTCGATTTGAAGGCTAGCTCATGTCAGTTTGACTGTCTTGGAGAAGAGAGTCTTTTACTTCAAACGTTGGAAAAGCTTTTTATTGACACGATTTGGTAATGAAACCTACCATGTATTGTGTTTGGTTATATTGGTTTTTCATTTTTCTCTGCCTGTACAGGTTATCTGACACGTGACAGGAAGGAAGTATTCAGAAAGGTTAAAATTAAAAAAAAAAATTTGTTTTATCCTGAAAAGCTGAGGAAGATAAACCTTATATTTCTCTGAACAAAATCAACTGTTATCTTCTTAAACCCTCTCTGACAAGTCCCTTATCAATACATTCACGATTTTACAAGTAGGATTTACAACTACCAAGTTTCCCAAAGAGCATGCTTTTGTGAAAATTCCATTCTCTCAAGGTTTTTAATATTTTCTGTTAATTTAGAAGGTGGAATAGTTTGGTAGAAAGAAGTCGTGATCAAGGCTATTATTTTTTACACACACTGCTGTTTATGTGAACCTTCAAGGGATGACATTGACTCAGGGTAGTGCAAGCCCAAGTACATGAGTAAACAAGGAGTGACTTGACTTTGCTTTTCCTGAAAACCTTACATAATGCAAAAGGGTTAAATGCCTGTTGTCCTTGTAAGCATGTAAAACCATCAAAATCATGGTTAGTGTGTAAACCTGTAATACTTCTATTTGTAATACGTGGCATGTAGAATGCTACTTTAGCACACTTCATGAAAAAGCTTAAAATGGCCGTCTTTTAATGTAGTACGTGAAGAATTTGTGCTTGAATATGCAAAGTGGCTTTTCGTAAGAGAACTTAAAAAGTACTGGGCATGCCTTTAATGAACCTAAAAATACTCAGTCTTTGATAGTTTAACATTTTTGTAAAGACAGTTTTACCATTGCTATAAAGAAGAGAGAGACTGGTTAGAAATGTGTGAAGTGACAACTGTGTCCTTAACACTGTCCGGTCCCCACCTTTCTGTCTGTAAAGGCAGGAGAGTTTGGCTAAACCAGAGTTACTGAGGCAGTGTCAGAGTGAGCGGAGGTGGAACAGACATTGATGTTATTCCAGCTGTAGACTTTCCTACAAACACTACCTTGCCTTAGGAAGGGCTTTGCTTTTATGTTCCTTAAAGATATCTCTTCTTTTGAAACACAGGTGACTGTGACAGACAATGGTACGCCCCCCAGATCCACCATTGCAAGAGTAATCGTCAAAATCCTTGATGAAAATGACAACAAGCCCCAGTTCCTGCAGAAGTTTTACAAAATCAGGCTCCCAGAGCGTGAAAAAGCAGATGGAGAGAGAAGTGTGAAGCGAGAGCCCCTGTACCGTGTCATAGCTGCGGATAAGGATGAAGGGCCCAATGCTGAGCTCTCCTACAGCATCGAGGAAGGGAACGAGCATGGCAGGTTTTCCATCGAACCCAAAACGGGAGTGGTTTCATCCAAAAAGTTCTCTACAGCTGGAGAATATGATATTCTTTCAGTGAGTTGGATTTCTCTCTCACCTTTCTCGGAAAATAGTCACGTGGTTGTTTCTCTCTGTGGAGAAAGTGCCTTCAGTGTTGGGACCTAACAGATGGCGCTTGAAAAAACGTTTGGAAACTGTGGGTTTTTATTTGCTTTGCCAACTCTCACTCCAGTGAGTATGGCCACACAGCCCTTACCCTGGTCACCAAGCATTGAGCATACACTGTATTCACATACAACTTTGGAATATTTGAAACTGACTCAATGGTTGTCAAAGCAGTCTAGACTTTGGTTGTCACTTGTGATTGTTCTTTTCATCCCTTCTGCTCATATTTCATAGATTAAGGCAGTTGACAATGGCCGCCCTCAGAAGTCATCAACCACCAGACTCCACATTGAGTGGATCTCCAAACCCAAGCCATCCTTGGAGCCGATTTCATTTGAAGAATCAGTTTTCACATTCACTGTTATGGAAAGTGATCCAGTGGCTCACATGATTGGGGTGATATCAGTGGAGCCTCCTGGCATGCCTCTGTGGTTTGACATCATTGGTAAGCATTGCTTGTAGCTTTTGTTGTCCTTGTGTGGGTTGCACTGAGAACCTCATGTGGTTTTCTAGTTTTTGTTCAATTTAGAATATTAATTTGGGGAAAGATCTATAGGTGAAAAATTTTCTTAAACTATGATGGTTTCACGGCAGCCAAAAAAGGAAAAAAAAATCTCACAACATATATTAAAGTTACTTAAAATCAGTACTCCTGAGTGTGGAGGGATGGCTTAATAGAGAAGAGCACCAGCTGTTCTTCCAGGAGACCCCTGCATGATAGCTTGCAACCCTCTATAACTCCAGTTCCAGGGGATCTGATGCCATCTTCTGGCCTCTACAGTCACTGCATGCACATAGGGCACAAACTAACAGGCAGGGGGGAAATATCCACTGAAAAATTTAAAACAAACATAAAATAGGTATTCTAAAACCATTAAGTCAGTTAACATTTCTATTAAAAAAATTTGGGGTACATACACAGGGAGTTTCAGGAACCTAAATGTTTTGGACCAGTCCGTTATTATTTGTGATTATATGAAATTTATACTGCCTGCAATATCTTCTTAGTATTATTTACCTCATTTTCCAGGAAGCTTCGCCCTCTTGTAAAATAAAAATACCCAAGTCAGCATTTTTGCTGTTTGGTGAGCTCACACAGAATATTCGGATTTACTTTTGAAGATTATATTAGGACTTTATACCTTACACGATCCTCCGCACTTCCTGCCCCTCTTAGACAAACCTAGGCCCTGAACAAGCTCTCTGTTACTGTGCTACACACTTACCTTTGTTTTTACTTTTTAATTTTGAGACAAGATTTTATTAAGTTGCTCAAGGTGGCTTCAAATTTGTCACCCTTTCTACCTTGGCCTCCTGAGTAGCTGGGATCATAGGTTGGGCTATAATGCCTAGCCTTAGACCTTCACATTTTTTTCACTGTTTTTTTTTTCTTTTTGGTTTTTTTCAGAGAAGGTTTCTCTAGGTAGCCTGGCTGTCGTAGAACTCTGTAGATCAGACTGGTCTCAAACTCAGCAATCAGTCTGCTTCTGTCTCTTAAGTGCTAGATTTAAAGGCGTGTGTTACCACCATGGGCTTTCCACAATATTTGAATTACAGGGTACTTAATGGATCAAAAGTATGCTTGTTTGCAACCACCATCTCCAATTGGAACTTAACCACTCCCTCCTTTCCTTCCGCCTCTTGGCCATGTTGCCTCCCAGTATGTGAAACATTATCTCTGAAACTGTGGCTGTTGTTCTTGAAGGGGAAAATGATGAATGCCCTCGCTAACTATAATCATAATGATTTCTTTCCCTTAACTCTTCTCAGGCTTTCAGATTAACCGGTATCAGACTTGCTTTTACTTCTAAATCCTTACTGTTGGGGACCGGTTTGACTGACTGTTCTTCTCCTGTGCTTGCTTTCCATGCTTGCTTGCTTCCTTTGGCTGTGCCAGGAGATACACTTGCTAGAGAAGTCTTTTACGTCTTTCAGATGACTTGTGACCCGAACTGTACAGCAGAAGGTATCTGCTGTGATCACATAATTTACTGCATAATTATGAGATCAAAACTCAAAGCATGGATTTTTGTTCCCAGAGTTCTGAGATCCCAGCCCCATCATAGTTCTTTTCATAGTGTGTGCATGGCCACCCGTCCCAGTGACAAACATGTTGATTCTTAGTGTCGCTGCATCAGTTGTTTTGGGTTTAAGATGCATGTCTAGTGTGTATGTGTCTCTCTGTATGTGTTTTATTTCAGTATGTGTATACTTTAAGTATGATATTAAGCCTTATTTTCATCCCATTTTTTTCATGTTGGTATGAGTGTCTCAAGTTGCATTTGTTTGAACAGAGTTTTATGTAGAAGTGTAATTGGGACATCTGAATAGTACTAATGGGACAGAAACTTGCTTCTGGGAAGTAGCTTTAAGGAGTCTGCAATAGATCTGATTTAAGGTAAATGTAACTGTTTCTTTCAGAGTTCACATTTATTTTTAATAGTTATTACTAATGCAGAATGTTCAAAATAGTACAGTAATTTTTTTTTTTTGCAGTGAGGTTTTCATAATCATGCATAAATTTTTATAATGCCTGAAAAATCCAAAGTAATTGACAGGTAGTTTTAGCAGAGCCCTTTGCTTATGGAGTTGCTGCTTCTCAGTTCTTGACCTCCTTGACATTATGGTCCAGTGTTTCCCTGAAAGCACTTTAAAGAGCTGCCATTCTTTCCCTGTGTCTGGAGATCCTAGCTCCTTGGTGTCACTTTGATCATTGTATTGAAAGTCTGTTTTTATGGTCATTGAGTATTGGAAAGCTATAAAACACATGGCAGATCTTTATTGTGTGATTTGCTCCAGCACTTCTGTCTGTCCTAATTTCAACTAGGTGGCAACTATGACAGTCACTTTGATGTCGACAAGGGCACCGGCACCATCATTGTTGCCAAACCCCTTGATGCAGAACAGAAATCCAACTATAACCTCACAGTGGAGGCAACAGATGGAACCACCACTATCCTCACTCAGGTAAGTGACCACTGGCAATGGGTTTGTCAGGGGGACTGGAAAACGCCCTCACATCATCAGGGTGCATAGACCGCATGCATGTGCAGTTGTGTGTTGATGTAGTTTACACATGTACACACCAAGAGTCCTTATTTAGGGACAGAAAATGCAAATCTGAGGGGCTTTGCCTTCTGTTTAGCAGTCTCATAAAAATGTCACTAGGAGACTTATTAGCACTTTTCCACCGAAGTCTTCTTAGTCTTACACTTATCTTAAGCTGTGTTGGTAGTGTTTTATCACAGGATGAGTTCTATACATCATTTTCTTGAAGCTCTTAATATTTTAAACTGCTCACAGGTTCCCTCCCTCCTTCCCCTTCTTTCTTCCTTCCTTTGTTTTTTCATCTGAACTAAACCCAGACTTGTGTAAAAATGACTTGTGAGTGAGGTTGTACCAACAGTTCCTTTTATACTTTTATTTGTTGCTGTCTGATCATCAATAGCTGGCTAGATTTCTGGTTTTCACACTTTAATGTTAAAATCCTGTAAGTTAATTGAATTCTCTTTTTTAAATGACTTCCCTGATTCTTAGTAGTGGCTGTCCAAAATGATGTTCCTGGATGACTAGTAATTGTGGGTTTTAGGAGGAAGCCTCCTGCCTCCCTCCCCCCCTCCCTCCTTCCCAAGTACTTGCCCAACAATTCTATTAGGCCACAGGTTTCTTTAGAAGCAAAAGTATGGCACCAGGGCCTATTGTCTTGGATCTTAGATTAGGATAACAGAAGCTAAAAGGCTTGTGTGTTACTTAAATATCCCCAAGGAAGCTGAAGCTTAGAGACTAAGATGCTTCTGAATTCTGTCTTTAGATTATGTTCTCTGAAATCTTAAGTGACACAGGTCACCCCTCTGTCATTTAGTTATATCAGTGACTAAAAATTACAGTCTGGGATGTATTTTCAGTTAATAAATGGCTAGAAAGTTTAAAAGTAGCTGTAAAAATATTTTATTCCTTTCTCCAAATACTTAAGATTTTATTGTGTATGTAAGAGTGATACTGTATGCTTAGGTTTATGCTTTCGGGGTCCTTTTGAGTTGCCATGCAGAAGGAAGACGTAGTGTCACACCATAGTCTCTGTTTCCCTCATGTCTTTGCACTTTTCATTGGAGTAACAAGCAGCATACATTCGTTTTCTCTTTCAAAGTAAGCCCTTGATGACAAACTGTAGAGAACGAAAATGAGAATTAAAATATCAAAAATCCCAGTGAACTTTAGCAGTCATTCTTGGAGGAAGATTTAAGCAGTGTCACTGTAAACGTTCTGTTTTGGACAACTATCTAGAAATGTGGTAAGCTGTGGAAAAGGCCCTCCATAGCAGCCATTCTTATGACTACAACCGTGTATCCACATGGTGTTTTCATCTCATTAGGAAATAATTAGCAATGCACCTCTTCCCTGCAAAACTGTGTTTTTAGTGTGGTTGGGCGCTTAGTATGAAGTTTTGATGTACATTACTGAAATTCACCTGAAACACAGGAGGTGAATTAGTGTCTATTTCTCTGGTTATTCACGGTAGTGTTTATAGTTCTGTAACTTACTGTGATGCCTGTTCAGAGAGTCCTGATGGTGTCCCAAGGGATCGCTGGCATGGGGAGCTTGGTGGAATATAAGACAATGGTGACAGAGCCCAGGCTGACCCGTAATGCTGGGGACAAAGGGAACAGGCAGTAATTAGGTTTAGGTTTCTGTCTGGGACTGTGCACAGGGAGATACAGATCTGGGATGGAGTGGAATAGATCCTCTGGAGAGGCCCATGGGCACCTGAACTACACTGATAAGGCCTGGAACACTGGGTAGATGTAGGTTTGTTGGTGAAAATCAAGACCCATGTAGCAGCTTCGTGCATTCAAGTGGGTAGCCCAGGTGCTGGATGTGGGAGGGACTGGGTGATGATTTTGGTAGAGCAGGGAGGGAGCAGTGTGGATGCCACTGTTCTGTGCATAAAACTTCATCCTTCCACTTAGAATGTGCCTGGCACCAGGTTGAATCATTTTTCTTTCTCCCCTTAGGGTCTCCAGATAACTTACAAATACAGTAACTTTGGGGGGGGGATAGGATGGGGTGGTGTTGCATTGAAGCTGCTTCATTCAAGTTTTCTTGCAGTTTCCCTGGAACGTGATTGTTGCGTCCTAGGCAGGCAGCCTGGTTGGAGGCTTATCGTGGGTGGGGACAACCATGAGACTCTCTCTGCTTCTATTGCTTCACCTGGAAAGTGAGGATAGTGGATAGTGAATAGTGCTCGCCACCTTCCCAGCTTTTCTGAGGACCGGGGGAGAATTACCTTGCTCTTCTGCTCTTACCACCTGTCCTCAGGACATGCTCCCATGGCATAGATGTTACACAAAATCACTGTGCAAGCTCCTGCTACCACACCCCTGAAACTTATCTGGGGCTACTTGTCCCAAAACTGGTCCACTTGACTGAGAAGAGGAGACAAAATGCATTTTCTCTGGTGAAAGGGTGTGAAGTGTATAGGATAGCTAACTCTCCATCCTTAGCTTGGAAGTTTAGGCTTTGCAGCTTTAATTCTGTATTCTTCCCGACCCTTTGTTCTTTTGGGTCCAAGTCTTTCCAGTCTCTAGAGATAGGTATGCAACTTTGACCTTCCTGGCTGACCATCTTCTTTCCAGTATTTCTTGCTTTGGAAAGTCCCAGGAAACCTCTGGACTTTAAAAAAAAAAAATAAAATAAAAATAAATAAACTCATCTTACAGTGTGCTAGCAGATTTTAGGCTTTGTAGGAATGTGACATTGACCTTCGAGACTGAAAATGTGGTGAGGATTGTCACCATTGCCTACTTGCTTTTCACCTTCAGATCTTGTGGCTGAGAGCTGCCCAGAGCTCAGTCAGAATGTGTCTCATGAATTGCCTTGTCAAAATGGGTTGCTCATTCTTTTTGGCCTTTTCTCTGAGAGTGGTTGACCGAATGAATTCTCTGCCTAATTCCCACTCCATGGCCAACTCAAGCTTTAAACTTGAAAATAGAGCATGATTTGATTTGTAGAGAATTCCCCTTTGCAACTTTGCCTCCTGGGTGCCCTTTCATCTTTGAAAGTGAGCCATCAGTAGTCTTAAATGGTTACATACCTTTCCCATAAAACTTTTTTGTGTGTGTGTGTGTGTGTGTGTGTGTGTGTGTGTGTGTGTGTGTGTGTGTGTTTTGGTGAATGAATTTAATATTCACGTAGAATTGAGCGTGGAAAGGCATCTGTTGATGCTATGGTGTCCTCTGGGAATCCTGGTACGTCTCATGAAAAGTCTGTCTTTGTGAGGGTGCAGCGGTGTGGTCTACAGGTACCTGACATCGATAGAACTTTGGTTCCTTGTTCCTCTTAAACTAACAAATCCCCATAGAAGGCAATGATGTTTGGCTTTTCTTGTTTATAAACTGTAAGCTGTATTTTATGATTGGTACTGATTTTTACATGCCTTATTCATCTAAGTCGCTTCATTCCAAAAATTAATCATCTATCAGGGTAAATATTTTTGTTTCTGATTATGACTAAATTTTTGACATCTTTTTGCTCTAAAGCTTCCATTTATGTCACTATGTTTGACGAGAGTTTTTCTTTTCAACCTACTTAATTGCCTTTAGGAAAGAAACATTCACTACTTACATAGATTGTGAAGTCACAGAAATATAATTTCAAGTAGTACTGGGGTTGTAACCCTCAGCTCATGTGTGCTAGAAAGTACCCAATCACTGAACTGCATACTCAGTGATTTCTGATTGTTCCTTTTGTATTAAAATTACTTCCGGGGAACTTGCATTCTCAGATTAGAATGAGAAACTTAGATAGCGTTACCAACTCTTTCACTGGCCTAAATCTAACATAGGAAATGGGTACACTGTAATCCTGGCAAAGAAAATTCTGATACCTTCCTTGAATCATCTCCAAAGGAATCTTATAGAGACCTGCGGAGAAATTAGTCTGCATTTCATAAGGAATTTTCAGCCATGACCAGAGTCTTATCTGGTTATTGTTAAATATTAAGTAAATATTGTACCAAAGATAAGAAGCTGTAGGTTTCTTTGATTCTAGACTTTTGTTGCTTTTTTTCTCATATTTAATTTGGTCCAGTGGCATTTTTCAATCATGCATGTATTAAAACAGCATTTTTTTGTCGGGGGGTTTCAAGACAGGGTTTCTCTGTGTAGCTTTGGAGCCTATCCTGGCACTCGCTCTGGAGACCAGGCTGGCCTCGAACTCACAGATATCCTCCAGCCTCTGCCTCCCAAGTGCTGGGATTAAAGGCATGTGCCACCAACACCCGACTTTAAAACAGCATAATTATTTATGAATCTTTATTTGAGTCCTTTTGTCACTCCTAGGTACTCATCAAAGTAATAGATACAAATGACCACCGCCCTCAGTTTTCTACATCAAAATATGAAGTCACCGTTCCTGAAGACACAGAGCCGGAAACGGAGATTTTGCAAATCAGTGCCGTGGATAAGGATGAGAAAAACAAACTGATCTACACTCTGCAGAGCAGCATCGACCCAGTGAGTCTCAAGAAGTTCCGCCTGGATCCTGCAACTGGTGCTCTCTACACCTCTGAGAAGCTGGACCACGAGGCTATTCACCAGCACATGCTCACAGTCATGGTATTTCACCTGCTTACCCCGGCGTCACCCTTTCGACTGGAAGGTTTCCTGTGATGTGAAGGGATGATGATACCTTTATATTTCTATTCCACAGGAAAGAACCCCAGTTGAATGACGGTGTGTTGATTCTTTCAGGTACGGGACCAGGATGTCCCCGTGAAGCGCAACTTTGCCAGGATCATTGTTAACGTCAGTGACATGAACGACCATGCACCATGGTTCACCAGCTCCTCCTATGAAGGCCGGGTTTATGAATCGGCAGCTGTCGGCTCAGTTGTGTTGCAGGTTACAGCTCTGGACAAAGACAAAGGAAAAAATGCTGAAGTGCTGTACTCAATCGAATCAGGTATTTTTGAAGCAATCAAGTCTTGTCTTTCTGCTTGAAAATTGTATCTTGCATTTTCAAAAATTACTTCTAGGTGTTGAAGCATTTTTATGTACCCCTGCAGAAATGTATTAAAATTTTAACTATTAAAACAAACAAACAAATTTAAAAAAAAGGCAAAGGAACAAAGATAAAGTCCTATAAGCTTGGGTGACAAGTTAAGACTGATAAATCCTGCAGGGATTTTCAGGTTCAGTATTTCTGGACTTATTTTAGGCTCTGAACCTAGTCAGGAAAATGTTGGCTTAGTAATTCAACATTTTCATGAGAGTATTTTCTCTGGCTCAGAGTAAGAAATTCCATGACAGTGTGATGACTCGACTGTCTTGGGTCAGTTGTCAGAGAAAAGGGGTACCCTGCTTCCTACTATACCTTGCAGGCCAGCCCCATATTCCATCCCCCTGTGCCATTAGCAGTTGAGTCTCATGCATAGGATTGAGTTGAAACAGGAAAGAGAAGTGTTTGGAAGGGGCCTCTAGCATTGGCTAGAGGTAGCCCAAGCCAAGAAGGTAAACTGAGCCTGGGCCTAGGAGTTCCAGAATAAAGTCAGGAAAGACTCCCTCCCCCCAACACACACATAGTTGGGGATTAGAGCAATCACAGCTACGTGACAGGCTTTGTTCTTTCTTTGCTGCTGTTCACTCATCCTGTGGACTGAAGTAACTCCATTCATGTGTCAGATACTGTGCAAGAAGTCTTCATGCTGGGTTCAGTGGGTGGAGCCTTCCAGTGGCCTCATGGGGATGAGTTGAGAAAGATTCTACTGCAGAGCACATGCTCACACAGTTAGGAATTCCTAACTCTGCTCAATACCCAGTCAGTGATAAGTGTGGAGAGGACTGCAGTCTCCTACAGGCCTCACAGCCATTGTTAGTATAAGAAATAGAGCCCATTTCATTCTTTGCAATGATTTTAGAGTATTTTAATTGACTTTTTTCTTAAAGTGCAGAGTTCTCCCTACTCACACATGGTCTTTCCTAGGCATTGAATCCATAGAGCTTATAGATTATCTACAGATCTATAGATCATAGACTCTAAATCTGAGAGATTGTGACATAAATACTTACCGATGTGCTTTATGTGCTGACTAGACTATTATTATTTCCTTACACATTGGAAAACTCATCCATTTCCTTTAAAAGAACTGGATTGACTTCATTATTCACAAATAAGATTTTATGTACTGCCTGTGATTAGAGTGTTAAAATGCATTGTAGTGTAGTTAGTGCCTTGGATAGAGAGATAAAGAATTTTTTCCCCACTGCTTGAGAAATTTAGCAGTTAGAAAAACAGTACATTCCATTCGTGCATGCCCGAGCATCTCATTGAAGTGACTTTGTCATGGACAAACTGACTGGGTTTATGTAGGAGAAAATGTTCAACTTTCCCTTGGCTTTCACATAATTGTCAACAACTGGGTGGTTAAAATATGATTGTTGGTGCCTGAGTGAAGGCATGTACATTCTTTGAGTGTTTGTAATGACTGATGGGATTAGTAATTTGGTATTCTAAGAATGGAACTCTGTCTCTCCCCAAAGAACAGACTAAGCACCGATGGACTGTTCCCATATGGAATAGGGTTTTTAAGACCCAGCTTTCATAATGAAATATTATGCTAAAAAATGCATTCATGGGAAGTCACTACCATGAGGGTACAGTAGCATTTGTGTGTATCTGTGTCTGTGTGCATGCATAGCACCTACTGGAATAGAATGAACTGTAAATTGTTCATACTGCCTTTCATTTATCACTTTATTCATGATCAGCTGCTTTTAACTTATATTGCACTTAATAAAGTTCAGGAAAATGGGTTCTAAATTTTACTTGTAATACTGCATGTTTAATTAGGAGAAATTTATTGAGCTAAAAGTTTAGTCTGACTTGAAATCTTCAGGGAAAAGCATTTAATGAAAAGGTATTTCCAGTTGCAATTGAATTACGCACCAGAGACACATAAGTGCTGTACTCTGGGCTGGATGGTGTTGGCTTGTCAAAAAAGTAGATGAGAGTGTTATTTCACTACTGTTATCACCCCTGGAGAGAGAGAACGCTTGGTGAATGTATTAATTGATTAGGATGGGTTTTGTTCCTTCAACTCATATCATAATTGCCATTGAAACTTGGTAGAGGTTTCCGCTCTGTCAGCAAGTCCTTACTGAACACAGGCTGTATCACATGTCTCTTTTGTGCTATGTAGGAAATAGTCATGGCTTCAGGGCAACATTGGCTTGTTAGTGCAGATAATTTTCCTGTTGAAATGCAGAGAATGATTTAAAGTTGTATTGTTCCAGCTGATGCAAAATGAGTCAACCCCACGCTAGTACAAAACTTCTGCTCACCTCCTTATTTCCATTCACAGGGAGCAGACATGTATTTCAGGGCTGGGGAAATGCACCTGTTACCCAGCAGTCAAAAGCCTGCATTGGCTTCCGTATATCTGAAGCTTTGTTGCCTTCTGTATATCTGAAGTTTTGTGTCTCGTTACATACATGTGAGACCCAAATACTGAATCACTAGCTGGGCTCCCAGTGAGTGTTTTTTTTAAATGTCAATGACAAGCTCAGGGTTCTCTGAATTCAATGCCAGGATCTCCCAGCTGGTAAAGAGTAATTTTGAATTTTACACAGCTGATAAATCACATGTTTTACACACTATAAATAAAGTTCAGGAGCTGGGTGTGGTGGCATATGCTTTTAACTGTAGCCTTCGGGAGACTGAGGCAGGAGGATTATGAGTAGGCGGTCAGCCTGAGCGACTACATTGTGTGATCCTGATGACCCTGAGCTACACAAAAACAGAAGATGAACCAAAAATGAATAGGAAGAAAGAAAACACTTAAAATGGAAAAATTCAATAAAGAATAAAAGTAGCCACATTGGGCTACTGGTCTTTAGGCTGGGGCACTCAGGTAAATTCCAAGTGAACAAGTAAATAGGTAGATGGAGAAATTCTGGGAGTACCTAGGAAAGGCTGTTTTGGGAGAGAACATGGTGAATATAGGGGGCCTGGAGTGAGAGAAGAGCAGAGGGAATGCTGGGAATGCAGACATGCATCATAACACAGTCTGTCTCTGTAACACTAAAAATGTTGATTCCTTTCTTCATCTGAGTATGAGACTTCACTGGCCAATAAGATTTCACTATGGAAAATAGGACAAACACATGCAGAGGGGTGGACATAAATGTTGCCAGATGGGCTGTTTTCCAAAACAGGCATAATAAGAAAGACTCGGTTGTTGGGGGTGGGGTGGGCCGTTAAAGTCAGTTGCCAAAAAATGTGAGCAGGTGCACCTGTTAGGCCAGGCAATCGCCACAAGTTTGAAATGTGAGAGTAATGGCAGTTAGGACAAGGGAAGGATCATGTTTTGATGTTTGCCTAAGGCACAGTGACAACCTGGAATCACGGATGCTCCTAAGTACAGACAGGCCGGAAGTCAGTGTCTGAGCAGCCTGGCAGAGACCTGGGCCAAGGTTTAGCCCAGAACTTCAGGGTCTGGAGAAGCCTTGGCTTCTGCCTCATTTCAAACCGAGGCATCGCCTTGGGGCTTGGACCCAGAGCCAGGCCATCTTAATGAAAACCAGGCTATGTCTGGCCTCAGAAAAAAATGTCATGGATTTTTGGAAAATGTATTTAATGAAGGAAATGAACACTGTAGAGGAAGTGCTTGCTCATAATGTGCAGAAAGAGGTGCTGGTTAGTTAATCCTCTGGTTTATAGATCACGCTAAGTACTCCTGGTCTAAGGAGTTGGCGGGTGGCAAACACTCTAAGAGGAGTGTGAGAAAACAGTTGAATGGCAAGCGAACTTCGTTGTGCCATAAAGTGTGCATTTGGGAAGAATGAATTCCATGCTGGGCTGGTTTCTAGGTCCTTATTTATGAAACACAAAAGGGATGGTATGGATTCACTGATGGGTGTAACACAAAGACATCCCCCACCCCAACACACACACACACACTGTGCCCTGGCTCCATCCAGAACACCTAGTGGAACACCAGAATACCAGAACACTGGTCTCTTTAGACCTCTCCGAGCTGTGGGGTGTTGGGAAGTTGTGGGAACAGTGAATCTCTGGTAGGATAGACTGGAAAGGTCCAAAGGAAAGCCAGTAAAGCCATCTGTCCTGCCAGTTTGCTTCTCAGCTGCATAAGCACTGTTGATGTTTTGAGGCAAATAACTACTTGTTGTCTCTCTCATGTGCCGCATAAGCTGTTTTTGTCTCTTGGCCGCTGTCATCTACGTGGCAGTAGCACTTCCTCCCTTCAAGTTGTGACAGCCAAACTGCCAGATGTCTCCCTGGAAGCAAAATTCCTCCTACTCGAGATTCACTGCTTAGAAGATAAGTCAACTAGGAAAAGGTTAAGAAGGGAGTAGTATTGTTGAAATCTTCAAAACTGGTCAAGTAGGGTGGGCTGCAGAAAGTTGTTTTTCACTTCCCTAGCTACAATACAAGGTGTACATTTTCTTAGTGGATTAAAATTTTCCCATGTAAGTGGTAAGCAATAAAAAGAATTGATGCAATCTGCAGGATTTCAAGGCACTGTTGGAAAATCCTTAGCTGAATTGCTTTGTGAGAGGAGAGCCATGTGTTTTTACAGCACATTTTTCAGTTCAGCAGAGAGAATTTTGGCTTTAGGTACAGAACAGTATTTTTTCTATTTCATGTTTTTCATATTTGACAGCCAAAATTCTGAACAGTTTAAACGAGTAAAAATGAACTAAGTTGAAGGTTTCATTCAATTGCTGATATCTCTTGCTTTTTCTATTTAATTCAGGGGTATGTTTCAAATATCTCTCTTTCTGTTTTTTTTCTATTTCTGTCATCTTTGGGCTTTTCCCTAATAGGTTTCTTTTTCTTTTTTTTCCCCCTTCCAGGAAACATTGGAAATTCTTTTACAATTGACCCCATCTTGGGCTCTATAAAAACTGCCAGAGAATTAGATCGAAGTAACCAAGTGGAGTATGATTTAATAGTCAAAGCTACAGATCAAGGCAATCCACCCATGAGTGAAATGACCTCTGTGCATATCGCTGTCACTGTGGCTGATAATGCCTCTCCAAAGTTCACATCCAAGGAATACTCTGTTGAAATCAGTGAAGCCGTCGGCATTGGGACTTTTGTTGGGATGGTCTCTGCTCACAGTCAGTCATCAGTGATGTATGAAATCAAAGATGGGAACGTAGGAGACGCCTTTGACATTAATCCACATTCTGGAAGCATCATCACCCAGAAAGACTTGGATTTTGAAACCCTGTCCATTTATACATTGACAGTACAAGGAACCAACATGGCTGGCTTGTCCGCCAATACAACTGTTACAGTGCATATGCAGGATGAGAATGACAACCCGCCAGTTTTCACACGGGCAGAATATTCAGGATTTGTTAGCGAATCAGCTTCAGTCAACAGTGTGGTTCTAACAGATAGGAATGTGCCGCTAGTGATTCGAGCGACGGATGCTGATAGGGAATCCAATGCTCTGCTCGTTTATCAGATCGTTGAGCCATCTGTGCACAACTATTTTGCTATTGATGCCACCACCGGCGCTATTCACACAGTACTGAGTCTGGACTATGAAGAAACCCGTGTTTTTCACTTTACTGTTCAAGTGCATGACATGGGCACTCCACGTCTGTTTGCCGAGTGTGCAGCCAATGTGACTATTCATGTAATTGACATCAATGACTGCCCTCCTGTCTTCTCTAAGCCATTGTATGAAGCATCTCTTTTATTGCCAACATACAAAGGAGTGAAAATCATCACTGTGAATGCCACAGATGCCGATTCCAGGCCATTCTCACAGCTAATATACTCCATCACCGAAGGTAACATTGGAGAGAAGTTCTCAATGGACTACAAGACGGGCACAATAACAATACAAAACACAACTCAGTTGCGAAGCCGCTATGAGCTAACCGTCCGAGCCTCTGATGGCAGATTTGCAAGCATGACCTCTGTGAAAATCAATGTGAAAGAAAGCAAAGAGAGCCCACTCAAGTTTACCCAAGATTTCTACACTGCAGTTGTGAAAGAGAACACCACAGAAAGCAAAACATTAGCTGTCATAACTGCAATAGGGAACCCGATCAATGAGCCTTTGTTTTATCACATCCTCAACCCCGATCGAAGATTTAAAATCAGCCACACTTCAGGCGTGCTGTCCACCACTGGAATACCATTTGATCGTGAGCAACGGGAAGCATTTGATGTGGTGGTAGAGGTGACAAAAGAACATGAGCCATCAGCAGTGGCCCATGTCGTGGTGAAAGTCACCATAGAAGACCAAAATGATAATGCGCCAGTGTTTGTCAACCTTCCCTACTATGCTGTTGTGAAGGTGGATGCCGAGGTGGGCCATGTCATTCGCTATGTCACTGCCATTGACAGAGACAGTGGCAGAAATGGTGAGGTACACTATTATCTTAAGGAGCACCATGATCACTTTCAGATCGGCCCCTCTGGTGACATTTCTCTGAAAAAACAATTTGAGCATGACACTTTAAATAAAGAATATCTTGTCACAGTGGTTGCCAAGGACGGAGGTAGCCCAGCTTTCTCTGCTGAAGTTCTAGTTCCCATCACTGTCATGAACAAAGCCATGCCTGTGTTTGAGAAGGCTTTCTATAGTGCAGAGATTCCAGAGAATATCCAGATGCACAGCCCAGTGGTCCATGTCCAAGCCAACAGCCCGGAAGGGTTGAAAGTGTTCTACAGCATCACAGATGGAGACCCTTTTAGTCAGTTTACTATTAACTTCAACACTGGGGTGATAAATGTCATAGCACCATTGGATTTTGAGTCCCACCCAGCCTATAAACTGAGCATACGGGCAACCGACTCCCTGACTGGCGCTCACGCTGAAGTGTTTGTTGACATCATTGTGGAGGACATCAATGATAACCCTCCCGTGTTCGTGCAGCAGTCTTACACCACAACCCTGTCGGAAGCAGCTGTCATTGGAACACCTGTCCTTCAGGTGAAAGCAACAGATTCTGATTCAGAACCCAATAGAGGAGTTTCCTATCAGATGTTTGGAAATCATAGCAAAAGTCATGATCACTTTCACATAGATAGTAACACTGGGCTCATTTCACTAGTGAGAGCTTTGGATTATGAACAGTTCCAGCAGCACAAGGTTTTTGTAAGGGCTGTTGATGGAGGAATGCCCCCACTGAGCAGTGATGTGATCGTCACTGTGGATGTCACTGACCTCAATGATAATCCACCTCTGTTTGAACAACAGATTTATGAAGCCAAAATTAGTGAGCACGCAGCTCATGGACATTTTGTGATGTGTGTGAAAGCTTGCGATGCAGACAGTTCAGACCTAGACAAGCTAGAATATTCCATTCTGTCTGGCAATGATCATAAAAGCTTTGTTATCGACAGTGAAACAGGCATTATCACGCTCTCAAACCTGCGCCGACACACCTTGAAGCCGTTTTACAGTCTCAATGTTTCTGTGTCTGATGGGGTTTTTCGAAGTTCGGCTCAGGTACACGTAACTGTGATGGGAGGCAATTTGCATAGTCCTGTTTTTCTTCAGAACGAATATGAAGCAGAACTAGCTGAAAACGCTCCCTTACATACCCTGGTGGCCCAAGTGAAGGCAATGGATAGGGATTCTGGAATTTACAGTCACATAACTTACCATATCGTAAATGACTTTGCTAAAGACAGATTTTATGTGAATGACAGAGGGCAGATATTCACTTTGGAAAAGCTCGATCGAGAGACCCCCGCAGAAAAAGTAATCTCTATCCGTCTAATGGCGAAGGATGCTGGAGGGAAAGTTGCTTTCTGCACTGTAAATGTCATTCTTACAGATGACAATGATAATGCACCACAGTTTCGCTCAACCAAGTACGAAGTGAACATTGGATCCAGCGCTGCCAAAGGGACATCAGTCGTTAAAGTCTTTGCAAGTGATGCTGATGAGGGCTCCAATGCTGATGTCACCTATGCCATCGAGGCAGATTCTGAAAGTGTGAAGGAGAATTTGGAAATCAACAAACTGACTGGCCTAATTACTACAAAGGAAAGTTTAATTGGCTTAGAGAATGAATTCTTCACTTTCTTCGTTAGAGCTGTTGATAACGGGTCTCCGCCAAGAGAATCTGTTGTTCCAGTCTATGTTAGGATACTTCCACCAGAAATGCAGCTTCCAAGGTTCTCAGAACCCTTTTATACCTATGCTATTTCAGAAGACATGCCTATTGGAACAGAAATTGACCTCATCCGAGTAGAACACAGCAGGGCCGTTCTTTACACCCTAGTCAAAGGCAACACTCCTGAGAGTAATAGAGATGAGTTCTTTGTGATTGACAAGCAGAGTGGGAGACTGAAACTGGAGAAGAGTCTTGACCATGAAACCACTAAGTGGTATCAGTTTTCCATCCTGGCCAGGTGCACTATGGATGACTATGAGGTGGTAGCTTCAATAGATGTTAGTATCCAGGTAAAAGATGCAAATGATAACAGCCCAGTTTTGGAGTCCAATCCATATGAGGCATTTATTGTTGAAAACCTCCCAGGGGGAAGTAGAGTCATCCAGATCAGGGCATCTGACCTAGACTCAGGAACCAATGGCCAAGTCATGTACAGTCTAGATCAGTCCCAAGGTGCAGACATCATTGAATCTTTTGCCATTAATGTGGAAACCGGCTGGATTACAACTCTGAAGGAGCTCGACCATGAAGAAAGAGCCAGTTATCAGATTAAAGTCATTGCATCAGATCATGGTGAAAAGGTTCAGCTGTCCTCCACAGCCATTGTGGATGTTACTGTCACTGATGTCAATGACAGTCCACCACGGTTCACAGCTGAGATTTACAAAGGGACTGTGAGTGAGGACGACCCTCCAGGTGGTGTGATCGCCATCTTAAGCACCACTGATGCTGACTCTGAGGAGATTAACAGACAAGTGACATACTTCATAACAGGTAAAACGCTCAAGACAAATGGTTCAGTAGAAACTGAATCCATATTATATGGAATATGGTAGGTATGAATTCATGGATTTGGGGAGTTGATGTGATTTTAGTCAAGCATGTCTAGAATTAGTAGAAATAACAAACATATAAGCTGAATTTTAAGGTCTTTAAGCAAAACTGTTTCAGCCAAGACTCCTATAACTTACTCTGTTAAGTTGGTTTATTGCAAGCTTAATTATTGTTCTTTCCATCGGATAAACTTTGAATTGATGTTGCTACTGCTTTGTTATTATAAAAAGGAAAGCTAATATGTAATATTATGTATAGCATACACCTATAATCCCAGCTCAAAGGAAACTGAGGGCAGAGGATCTATAATTTAGAGACTAGCTTGAGCTAGCCCAGACTACATAGCAAGTTCAGCCCAGCTTAGGATACAAAATGAGAGCAACAAAAACAAAAGAAAAGCTAATATGTATCAAATTGAATTATAATTTCAAGAGTTTTAATCCTCTTTAGGCCATAATGCCATGCATTTCTTTTGTATAGTTTATTTTTTCTCACGGTTACTTAATTCATTTCTAACCCAACAATTTTGACTGCCATCTTCCTCCCTTAATTTACTAGGAGGGGATGCTTTGGGACAATTTGCTGTTGAAAATATACAAAATGAATGGAAGGTCTATGTGAAGAAACCCCTGGACAGGGAACAAAAGGACAGTTACCTTCTGACCATCACAGCAACCGATGGGACCTTCTCTTCCAAAGCTAGGGTTGAAGTGAAAGTCCTCGACGCCAATGACAACAGTCCAGTGTGTGAGAAGGTAGGTGTGCTTTTCTCAGGATTGGACATCATCAGTAGGAATCGCTTTCATATTTTCCATAGGGGCAGCCATTGGAGGCGTTGTAATTCACACATGCTTTGTATTGTAGTTGCTTATTGTTGAGCTGGAGGAGAATCAAATGCACAGGTCTTGGGAAAGCGTCAAGACTACTTGGTGTGCTAAGTTGGTCAAGAACTTTGCTCTAAAATACTGTAAAATGTGGGCCTCTTAAACTAGTGTCTGACTCTTAAAAAGTGGTCTCTAAACTTTGTATGGAGACAATCTATTCATTTGAGGATGCCGTAGTTTGGGGGATGGGGTAACATCTGGCCAGCAGCTTTTCCTGCCCAGCACAGGTGTTCTATAACAGACCGTTTTGATGCATTGGCCGTTCACAACAGAGAAACCAAGAGGTCATTGGAATGACCTGCTACTGCTGGATTCAATTTAACTGGGGCCATGGGACCGTAGCAGGAGCAATTGCTGGAGCTGAGCCATGAAAAGCTACCCATTGGGTTTAGCCTTCAGAAGTTAGCACTCTGCTGACCGGGAGTAGAAATGGAAAGCCTTGCGTGTGAAGAGTGAAGGCAGGTGTGGGATGTGGTAGCAGCCATGGAAAAGGACCCAGGCATGGGGCGCACACCTGGTATCCCAGCACTTTTGGCTGAGGGAGGAGAATTGCCACAAGTTCTCAGGGAAGTAAACACAAAATTCATCATCAGAGGAAGTGTGACTTCTGAGGAATGAGCTGTTAATTCCAAAAGGTATTTGTATTTTGGAGGACAGTATTTGATGACAGTGACGGGTTATATATCTTTTTTTAGCTGTGCACGCTGATTTCATCTTTAGTAAGTAGTAAAGTTACATGCTTGCCAAAAAAAATAAATGAGTGACACACTGGAAGACAGATGTCACACAATTTCAATTTTATGTGTACCCTAGAAATGATGAACTAATGGGAACAGAGAGCAGATTTGTGGCTATTAGGCTTCAATGTGGGTCTTTTAACAATGGGGGAACGATTGGTTTAAGGATATAAAACTGTAGTTGGACAAGAGGCATAGACTCTGAAGTCCTGAGGTTCTACTGAGAATATGATAAATATGGTTGATAACAATATGCTATATTTTAAAAGTTGTGAGATAGTATACTTTAAGTGTTCTCAAAACAAAAATGATGAATATGTGTGATATAACATGTTAATTGGTTTAATTTAGCCATGCCATTGTGAACATACTGTATTATGTATCATAATTGTGCATGACTTTATTTATGAGCTAAATAAATGAATGAAAATAAAAGAAAAAATATATCACTCTACCTTAGGTAATAATATAATTGGGAACACAACCACTTAAATTAATCACTGTTACAAAATATCCAGTTTTGTGAACCACAATATATATTTCCCTGTATTAAGCTCTTACTAAGAAGTAATGCAACAGAAGCATAATCTCTTTCCCTTATGTTCTATTTATGGCATGGCTAATGTGATAATTGGAACTGGAACCTAGTGTCCAACTGTGTGAGGATTTAGACAGATGTGAAGAAAGAGGAAACCAGGCAGGGTAGCAAACATGCCTGAATCTTACCTATCTGTCTTTTCCCACTTCCCACAAAGAATATTTCTAACTACAGTTATTTAGTTCTGTGTGATGAACAGTTGGTTGTACAGAGTAAGCCCCTGTGCTTCAAATTAAGTAAATATAATGTAACAGCTATGTATTTCCTCTGTTTTTTTGTTTTGTTTGGTTTTTGGTTTTTTGTTGTTGTTGCTGTTTTGGTTTTTTTTTTTTTTTTTATCAATTCTGGCTACCACTTCCCATTTTCTCGTAAGTATTTGAATTAAGTATGAAACTGTTCAGCAACACATCATATTTTGTATCCTGTGGATTAAATGTCAGGCCAGACTCACGGATATGGGACCGGTGCTGTTATAAGGCTCTTCCTTGGTTTCACATCTGTTTTATAAGAAGGATCATTTTAAAAGCTCTTTGAGTATTAACTTCAGTCATTTCCCACATTTTCCATGGCCAAAATGAAATGATTTCTTTTCCATCATTCCCTTGGCAGTCACTGTGCGCCTTCAGTGCTTCTGTTAAAACAGTGTTGTTTAATGTCTTGTAGACTTTATATTCTGACACCATTCCTGAAGACGCCCTTCCTGGGAAGCTGGTCATGCAGGTCTCTGCCACAGATGCAGATATCCGGTCCAACGCGGAGATTACTTATACTTTATTTGGTTCAGGTGCAGAGAAGTTCAAACTAAATCCAGACACAGGTAAGGATAGAATTTGGGGCTAATTTAATTGTGTATTTCCTATATGTGGGTGACATGAGATCCTGCACAAAACAGGAAATTACATTTTTCTCCTTTAAAATTGGTTCTGATGCTGTGGAAATGGCGTGTTAGAAATCTAAGCAACTTTAAGTGTAAAACTTGGGATGAGGTAAAAAAAAAAATAAGCCGCATACATATTATCATCTACTTGAACTAAGGACTTTAAGATTTGGAAGTTAATACAATTTCTTGGATAAAAACTTAAAGAGTGTATCTCAAAATTTCTGCTTTACTTATATAGTGTATTTCTTGAATTTTTGGACCTCAATTTATAATTGGAATTTTCTGTAATGAAAGTGATCCATATTTTCTTCATCTCTAAGCTTTTTAACTTGATAAGGTTCAGATTTTGTAATTATAGGAGAAAACAAAAAAAGATGATGGATAATCATGGCTCCTATCCGAATTCTCCAGTGGCCCCATTTATTTCTCTTTGTTTCTAGGTGAACTGAGAACATTAGCCCCCCTTGATCGTGAGGAGCAAGCCGTTTATAATCTCCTTGTCAAGGCAACCGATGGAGGGGGGAGATCCTGTCAAGCTACTATTGTGCTCACATTGGAAGACGTGAATGATAATGCCCCTGAATTCACTGCAGATCCATACACCATCACCGTGTTTGAAAACACTGAGCCCGGGACACTGTTGACCAGAGTGCAGGCCACTGATGCAGATGCAGGTACCCTTGAGTCTAGATGATCTTCTGCTGGGGTGTGCAGAAGGCTTTGGGACTCTCGTGGTGGAACACACTCCCGTGGAATGTGTTTGACCATCTTCTGTTCTCATGCAGATTATGGAGCTCAGTATTGTTGTAATAACAATAACTGAGTTGTTTTCCGTGAATGTTTAAAGTCTTGATGATTACACCCAGTGAACTTCCTGCTGCAGTGTAGCTTCGGTGTCTCTAAGATTGTGGTCATTGTCTTTGCTAACTGATTTGCCCCCAGTTCTGGGGATTGCACTTGTGGCCTCCATATGACTGGCTTAGATTTTGCTAATTTCCTCCTCAGCCTCTTGAGGAGCTTTTTATGAATAAAATCAGTAGGGCTGTAAAGATGTTAAGTATGTCACAGTAACATAGCAAGCAACTACTATAGTACTAAAGTTTTACCAGTTTTCAAAAGTGTTTGTGAAGAAAATAAGTGTATGCATTCAAACATTCTGATAATAGAGAATAAAGTATCTTCTAGAGTCATTACTATTGAATTTTTCAGTCACATTTTAAATAATTATTTGTCACTGAGACTAAATATCAAATAGATTTTATTTTAATTACATATAGATTCTAGCATGGAGGGGATGGGGCCTCAAGAGCCTCATCTATTCCTAGCTGAGGAGCTGTTGACAGTTAATAGCTTCTGATGGAAGGGGAGTCAGTTTTTTTTAAGGCTGTGGCCCCTGGTTGGTCACCCACACTCTGGTGGGTGCCCCCATACCCACAAGTAAAAGGCAGCACCAGTTGGACATGGCAAATTATTTTTTAAAAAAGAAAGGAAAAAAGCATATGAAGATGAGAAGGAACCTAGGAGGAGCCAAAAGTGGGGGTAAATATTATCAAAATATATATTATGCATATATGAAATTCTCAAGGAATTAATAAAAAAAATTACATTGAAAAAGTCTTGGCTACTCTCCATGTAGTGTAAGTGAAAGCCTAAAAAGTCAGACATCTATGGATCATATTTCCAGTCTATACATTTGTAATTCAGGGTATTTTTTTTATATCAGCTACATAGGGGGTTCTTTATATTATATCTGTTTGCATTTTATCATTTAAAAGGTTTCACGTTTTAAAATTTTTACATTTCTTGCTATGAAACCTGATAGAATTTCATGTTTTGACAGGATTGAATCGAAAGATCTCCTACTCACTGATCGACTCTGCTGATGGGCAGTTCTCCATTAGCGAGGTGTCTGGAATTATCCAATTAGAAAAGCATTTGGATAGAGAACAGCAGGCAGTATATACTCTCACTTTGAAAGCTGTGGACCAAGGAGTGCCAAGAAAGTTGACAGCTACCAGCACTGTGGTTGTGTCAGTTTTGGATATAAATGACAACCCACCTGTGTTTGAGTACCGTGAATACGGTGCCACTGTGTCTGAGGATATTCTCATCGGAACTGAAGTTCTCCAGGTGTATGCAGCAAGTCGGGATATTGAAGCAAATGCAGAAATCACCTACTCAATAATAAGTGGAAATGAACATGGAAAATTCAGCATGGATTCTAAAACAGGTAACCTTCCCGGTGAATGAGAAAGCCCTCATTCCATACTGAGGGCTAGATCTGTCTCTCACTTTATGTCATGCAAAGGGATGGTTCACAAGTGGCCAGTCAGTGGGCACTCTAAAGAGATAAAACTCAAATTTTCTTTCTATTATTTGAAGTGGGATTAAAAGTAGTTTGGGGAAGCTTTATACCCTGATTCTACATAGTATCTACATTCTGCCATATCCATTGTAAATTACAAGCCAGTGTAGAAAACTATTGACTCTCACCCAGTCTAGTGATGATGAACAGTGTCCCAGGTTTGCCAGAGCAGGATGCTTAGTGGTAATAAACCTTGTGTAATTATTCATTTTATCCCAATATCAAAGTCATATGGAGTGGCTTCCCCAGTCACACTGTCCTTTTGACCTCTTAGATCTTAGTTCCTATACGAGAGACCTGTTAGCTTTTTAAATTGACTTCTTTTTTTTTTTTTTTTTCATTTTTAAGGACATGTTTTATTTTTTCCCTATTAAAAGAATACAGCCATTTCTTAAATGCAGTAAATCTCAAATGTGCTTTTCCATGGAAGCAATTGAGTATTGTATAGTAATGCCTAATAGTCAACTGCAAGAATTAGTGTTATGGCCCCAAATCAAAGCACAGGGATGTGCATGATCAGAAAGTGGGATGTGCAGGGGAACCATATTGGTATCAGTTGTACCCAGCCCAGAAGAGTAAAAGTGAGTCTCGCTTAAGCACCCCGAATGTATTCAACGAAATAAACAGACCTACACAGCAGATAGCTAGGTCTGTGGTAATGGGGCTGTTAATATTCCCTCTTGGAGGTAGGCTGGAGGGTCACAGGACGCTGCCTTGTGTTTGGAGTCACAGCTCACTCCTGCCCCAGCAACAAAAGCTAAAGCGTGTAACACGTAAAAAGTTGACCAGGTAGGAGTTTGGTGGCACAGAGCTGTCCATGAGTCCCCATGCTCAATAAACCTGTTTATTCCCCAAGCTAGATGCCACAGAATCTTATATGGGCCCCCCTTCCTTTTCTTCTTTTTCTCTTCATTAAACTCATCTAGGGAAAAACAAACACTATAGCCTGTTTTTCATTGAACCCCTTGTCTATATACCTTACACCTAAGGAAGTTGGGAGATACAGAAGAAGCAGTCATGGTTTATTGGTCATTTAAGCCTACCAACCCTATGACAATTCCTATCCCTCAGCTGTGATTGTTTTTAATGTTCTGTCATTTGAGACCTCCAGATCCTCCCTTCCTCTACTCAAGGCCAGCAGGCCAGCAGGAAGTCTTGCTGAGGTGGAGACCCCCAACCACCAACTCTGTCAGATCCCACGGTGCTGCTTCCCTCCCCATCTCAGCAGGTTCCTCTCTGAACCCTTTTCTCTTAGTTTAAAGCCTTTCTCCTCCAGCTGTTCTCTGGCGCTCCTTCTCATTTCCTTCCTTCTCTAGATCAATCCTATCAATACAAACACGTTGTTAAGTTGACTTCTTTACCATGCTAGTGACATACACTAATTGAAGGACTGGATTCCACAGAGACAGCACTACTACAGCACATAGTCAGCCACTACTACTAACTCCTGCTTTGTGAATAGTGGTGTAGTTGTGTTAGCCTGAGTCTAAAATACCTGTTAATTCTCAGAACTTTGTAAAATGTTACTCTTTGAAACTGCACCTAGTTTCATGTCATGTGTAACTGTTTCTGATGAAGAATAGTTGTCTAGTGATGCTATTCTACAATGTATTTTTAATGCCTATTTTTCAAGTAGGATAGACTAGGTTAAGCCAAGGAGAAGTGTTACAAGTATTGTTAAATCAGTAAGGGATTTTATTTTATTTATTTGATTGTTTATTAAAATGGGACCTTGGTATGTTGTCCAGACTAGTCTCAAACATACAATCTTCCTGTTGGAGCCGCCTAGCTGCTAGCATTAGAAGCATGTGTCTGTGTCCCATCATTCAAAGAAGAGATGTTTATTAATATGAAGTGAAGAATTATCTTAGACACTTTTTCTTCTTCTTTTTTTTTTTTAAGACATGTATGGCGATAATAACAATAAGAAAGAAACCAAAAGACACTGAATTGAAATTTATAAAAAAGTTTATTAAACTGAAGTTTGTACTAAACTAGGTCAAAGAAGGAATAAGAGCTACCACCATTTTTAAAGCATTATAGCCATTTAAAGCAGAGGTAGCATTATTGACAGGGACAGGAAATTACACGTCACTAGGAATATAAGGAAAATAAATGAAGATGTTGGATGGGTAAAAATTCTAATTTTAAATTGTTTAATTAAACCAGAAAATGTACAGAATTCTCTGTTCTTTTGTTTTGTTTTTGGTTGTTTTGAAATAAGAACTAAATTTGTTTAAAGGTACTGCTGTAGTATTTAGAGAGTCCTAGAAGGTATTCTGTCTCTCCATACAGGGGCCATATTTATCATTGAGAACCTGGATTATGAAAGTTCCCATGAATATTACTTGACCGTGGAAGCCACTGACGGAGGCACGCCCTCATTAAGTGATGTGGCAACTGTGAACATCAACGTCTCAGACATCAATGATAACACCCCAGTGTTCAGCCAAGACACCTACACCACGGTGGTCGGTGAAGACGCGGCTCTTGAGCAGTCTGTCATTACAGTGCGTACTTTCCCTCACAGCTTGCCCCTTCTTAAAGGAGCAACTAGTAAAATCATTCTAGTTCTTCTACTTGTTCTGTTTAAAATATGTAGATCGTTGCTGTTGTTCAGCCAGAGGACAGGGTTCAGTGCTAGAGCTCCTACCTAGTCTCTGTGAAGCCATGTGAGTCCTCACCACTGCTCATTAAGAAGGTCCTTGATTGGCTTTAAGTAACTGCCATCAAACAACCAGCTGCTATTTCTTCCATCCCTTCCTTAACTGTTTCCTAAATGAGAGTGATATTTTCTAGATTATGGCTGATGATGCTGATGGACCTTCCAACAGTCACATCCGCTACTCAATTATAGAAGGTAACCAAGGAAGTCCATTTACAATTGACCCCATCAGAGGAGAAGTGAAAGTGACAAAGCCCCTAGACCGGGAAACGGTAAGCATAAAAAACGGGATTTATACTGTCAGCAAGGCACTAAAAGGTTGTGTTCATATCTGCATGCTATAATGTGAAGTACCAAAAAGGAAACCTTCGTCTTAGAATATGACGGGCTAACAAATATTTGAGAGTCGATTAAAGTTTCACCTCTTCAGATTTTTTTTTCCCCTGAGTTACTTAAGAGTCTGTGAAGCATGACTGCTAGGCAGAGTAAAATGTGGTGGATTTTTGTTGTTGCTGTTGTTTTGAGTGCAGGATCTTGCTGTATGGTTCAGGCTGGCCTCACACTCATAATACTCTTGCCTCAGCTTTCTGAGTACTGGAATCACAGGTCCCTTTCACCATACCTAGCTGAAATTTAGTAATTGTAACTAAAGATTCTGGCTCTTTTAACATACTTGTATCCACTACAAGATGGTGGAGGAGGTGACCTGTGGAGTTCTCAAGGCTGTTGTGGTTGAACATCTAGCTAGACTGATATACTACAGAATGGTACTCTGAGATTTAGCCATCTTCCTGGCTTCTCCCAGTGCTTACTCTAAAGCTACCGTAACAGGGAACTGCCCTAGCAGGGAAGCTGTCTCACTTGACTTGATTTCTTTTACAAGAAGCCACACATATTACCTTGAGGGATTTTGATGACTAAGTATAATCCAAGTGTGAAATTGAAGGTGACGGTGACCTGGCATATCTTGAGGTGTTAGAAAAGAGTGTGCACACAGGGTGAGAGGCCACTCTTTCTGTCTCAGCAACATTTAGCCTCTTAGGAAGGTGACATCTATGGTATTATCAAAGTAACAGCATGTAGGCTAGGTCAGCGGTTTCCTCTTAGCATTTGCATAATTTGTCTTTTTGTTTTCTAACAGAACTGTAAAAATAAATTATTTTTAACATCTAGCACTTTAATAAGAACCAGATGGGACACATCAGAGAATCTGCTTCTTATTGATAGCTATTTCTGTTGAGAAAATAGTACACTCACTCACTAGCTGGGAGTTTTCATTGTAATCTTAGGGAATTGCCTAGACAAAGGCTTGGCAAATGAGATCAGCAATTCCCAGTTGATTGGGCATATACAAATGAATGGATGTTCTGTCTTTCCCTAAAAAAAGATCTCAGGTTATACACTTACGGTGCAAGCTGCTGATAATGGCAATCCACCCAGAGTCAACACGACCACAGTGAACATTGATGTATCTGATGTCAATGACAATGCGCCTCTCTTCTCCAGAGACAACTACAGTGTCATCATCCAGGTAAGTGGGTGGTGGTATGGCCTCCGCCGTCTTTCACTGACCCCAGATCCTCATTTGACATAGCTTTCCATGTTTTAAAAAACTGGGAAAGATCAGATTAGAGGATTCCCTCTTAGTATAGAACAGGCATTGGCAAGACACAGTTCAACTTTCATCACTCCTTTTTATGCCTTGCTTTTTTAAAAAGAAAAAATTATTCTCCCTGTTTTAGGATTAACTAGGAAGAGCTTTTCATAGTCAAATCTTCTGATGCATTGATTTTCCTCCCCCCATTGTCCTCTTCCCTGCTACTTCTCTCCTCACCCCCTTTGAACATCATCCTTCTGTTACAACTTCTCTCACTCTCTCTACATGTTCCCACCCTCTCCCGTTTCTTTCATGCCTCTCCCTCTCTTCCCTCTTCCTTGCTTCATCAGCAATAAGGTTTTGTTGTCTATATGTTAATCAGAAAGCCTCATGTGTCCCTTAAGGATATAGACATGGTTGTGTTGATAGCTTTTTGTTCTGTTTGTTTAACATTATGCAGGAAAACAAGCCAGTGGGTTTCAGCGTCCTGAAGCTAGTGGTTACAGACAAGGACTCTTCTCACAATGGTCCCCCCTTCTTCTTTACTATTGTGAGTGGAAATGATGACAACACCTTTGAAGTGAACCAGCACGGGGTCATCCTAACGGCAGGTGCCATAAAGAGGAAAGAGAAGGACCATTACCTTCTGCATGTTAAGGTATTGCAGTCTTTTCTTCCTGGCTTCACCGGGATTTGTAGAGAACAGCTACAGGTGGTTACCTTTGTATAATTTAGACGGTTTTCATACATGTTACGGGAAAACAGAAGGGAAAATATATGTTTTTTTGTTTTTTGTTTTTTGTTTTTTGTTTTTTTTTTTAGTGCACTTCCAGTTTAGTTTTGTCTCAGTAGCACTGAGGCTACCTTTTCATAGGCAGGGCTGGAACTTAACATCCATATGAGTAAACGACAGAACAGTTTTTCTTTTTCCTTGGCGGGCTTCTGTTGACAAATGACCATCAAACAGTTGATAAGCTTGTAGAACATAAGCCAAACATGTGGATTTTTATCGGGAAGTTGTAATAATGACAGAGGCGACTTCTGTTTTTGTAGGTGGCTGATAATGGAAAACCTCAGCTATCCTCGTTGACACATATTGACATTCGGGTTATTGAGGAAAGCATCCATCCTCCAGCCATCTTACCGCTAGAGATTTTCATCACTGCTTTTGGAGAGGAATACTCAGGTGGGGTCATAGGAAAGATCCACGCAACTGACCAGGACGTGTATGACACATTGACGTACAGTCTGGATCCCCACATGGACGGCCTGTTCTCTGTTTCCAGCGCGGGGGGTAAGCTGATTGCACACAGAAAACTGGATATAGGGCAGTACATTCTTAATGTCAGCGTAACAGATGGGAAATTCACAACGGTGGCTGACATCACCGTGCATATCCAACAAGTGACACAGGAGATGCTGAACCACACCATCGCCATTCGCTTTGCCAACCTTACCCCGGAGGAATTTGTCGGTGACTACTGGCGCAACTTCCAGCGGGCTTTACGGAACATCCTGGGTGTTAGGAAGAATGACATACAGATCATCAGCTTGCAGCCCTCCGATCCACACTCGAATCTAGATGTCTTACTCTTTGTAGAGAAATCAGGTAGTACACACGTTTCAACAAAACAACTCCTGCACAAGATCAATGCTTCTGTGACTGACATCGAGGAGATCATTGGTGTGAGGATACTGGATGTGTTCCAGAAGCTCTGTGCAGGGCTGGATTGCCCATGGAAGTTCTGTGACGAGAAGGTGTCTGTGGATGAAAGCGTTATGTCCACTCACAGCACGGCCAGACTGAGCTTTGTGACTCCCCGACACCATAGAGCAGCTGTGTGTCTCTGCAGAGGTAAGAGCGAGCACATTAGTGTGTGGAAGTGAGCGGTAAAGAATATTTTATCTCAGGGACACTAGAGAGATGGCTTAGAGGGTTCAGGTTTGATTTCAAGCACCAACATAGTAGTTCACCATCCAGGGATGCCCTCTTCTAGCCTTCATAGGCACCAGGTACCCAAAAGGTGCACAGACATACATGCAGGCAAAACACCTATATAGTAAACAGTGTGTGTGTTTCCTGGCCAGGCCTGGCAGTAGAGGCCTATGCTATGATCACAGCTAAACTGGGAAGGATTTAAGTTCCCATCTTGAGATGGGAGATCATTATGTTGCTATCTTGTGAGTCCAGGTCAGCCTGGGCAACATAATGATCTCCCATCTCAAGATGAAACAATGAAAAAAGGGCTAGAGATAAATGTAAGCGAGGTAAGCCAGTGGAAGTGTGCTAGTCTAGCAGACAGGAGGCCTGAGGTCCAACCCTCCAGTGCCACAAAACAACAACAACAAAAAAAAACACAGATAAGTAAGTACAAAGAACAATAGTGATCTTGGTCTTTTTTTTTTTTTTTTTCTTTATTATTCTTGTTTTCCTTCCTATTTTCCTTTCATTTTTCTAAATGCAGATGGGAAGTGCCCACCCATCCCCCATGGGTGCGAAGAAAACCCGTGCCCTGCAGGAACTGAATGTGTTGCTGACCCCAGAGAGGAGAAATACAGCTGTGTGTGTCCTGGAGGCGGGTTTGGTAAATGTCCAGGTGAGCACTTCTGTGACCAAGTGTGAATTCATGTAAATCCATCACTTACAATCTTTCCATAATTGTGCAGGTTGTTCATCATAGCAAGCTAAGTGTAGAGGTGAGCAGAGAGAGTAGGAACTCCCTGAGCTGCCCACTGAACCCTCTTTCAATCAATGGCTGTATAATCTTCAGCTTCCTTTTTCCTTTTTTCTCTTTAATCCCCTATTTTTCTTTCTTTTTTTTTTTTTTCTCTAATCCTATTTCTCTCACAGCCCTCAACTTCTTTCTTTATTCCTCTACTTAGCTTATTAAGGACATGTTCCTGGCCATTGTGTGTAATCCTCACTCTTTTTAATAGCTGGACCAGGATTTAGTCATCATTCTTTATGTATAAAGGCTGTAATGTGTCTTTCTCACACTACAGATTTTTAAGTTCATTTTTCCATGCTGGTTCTTCCCCCACTCTGCTTCCTGATTTTCTAAAGCTAGAATCTGCTGTGGAAAATTAAATATGTTAAAAATACATATACATATACTGTTATATTAGTTTCCAAAAGAGTTGAATTGTTCCCATTTCTTCCAGGCATACATGAAGGTCTCATGTCTCCTTCTCTTATCTGTATTGAAACTTTCCTCCTTGGTGGGCTTGAAATACTTAAGTTTTGAACTTCTCTGGCTGCCGATGGGAGGGATCACTGTTAATTTGTTGGTGTTAGCATTTCCTGTTTTGTGGCTTGCCTCTTAGGCTGTCTGTTTCTGAATGTGTATAACTCTTCATATGAATTATGAATATTAACATGCTTCCTATTGCAATTTACCCTCCCTTGTTATTGGTCTTTTATTTCATTAAATGTGCCTTTTGTCGTTTTGAAATTGAATTTTTATTTAGTCAGTTCTGTATAAGTTAATTTTCATTTCTGGAGGCTGATACGATTTTCATCTTCTTTGAAGAATGAGGATTGCTTTGTTTTGCTCCACAGGTTTTGCCAAATCACCTTGAGGCTACATCACTATTTTCTGAAATTGCCTCATAATAAGTTACACAGAACAGTTTTATATTTAGTCTGTTATTGTTTTAGTACTTGCTTCTCTGTGATATAGTGCTCTCATTCTGTTCCACATGGAAAGTCAGTTGTGCTATGTCTATTAAAACCAATAGACTTTTTTTTTTCATATTGTCTGTCATCTTAAAAACAAATATCAGCCTCTGGGAAAGGAAGGGGATCATGGTTTTAATAGTATGCTTAAGTTTGGTGCTGATGGAATTTTTCTTCTGTAATCCGTAGGGAGTTCATCCATAACTTTTACCGGAAACAGCTTTGTGAAATACCTTCTGATGGAAAATGAGAACAAATTAGAAATGAAATTGAGCATGCGGCTGAGAACCTATTCTTCCCATGCAGTTGTTATGTATGCTCGAGGAACTGACTACAGTATCCTGGAGGTGTGTATTCATGCATCCTTTTACCTCAGATTGTGGGACACTGTATGAATGTAAATTCTATTTTGTGTTCTGATTGTTCCATTTAAAAACAAAGAAAGATGGGTTTGTTCCATGTCTCAAGGTTTCGCAGCCTGGATAACTGTTGACACTTGGGTGGTATCAGAAGTTCTTTCTACTACCCAGTAACCTAGACATTTACTTCTGATGTACTTTAATATTTTTTTTGGATATGTGACAGCTAACATTCAAGTTAGTCCATTGTATTTTGATAATGTTGCCATAGTTTATGCAGAGATCCTACATGATATTTTTGTATGTATATATATTCTGCCTGTGTTCAATTAACAGTTACATATTAGTAATTTCGTGTCATTTTTGGATGTGCAATTGGCATTTGGGAGCCACCACATGATCCATTTTTGTCGTTTGTATAAGTAGATAAATGATTTTTCCTCAGCACCTAATCACAAGTTTATATTCTTTTTACCCTCATTCGCTAAATATACCCTTCCTCTATATTTTGCACAGACTGACATTGAAGATTCTATGTGATTGGTGTGAACAATATTTATTCTATTGTAGATTCATGCTGGAAGACTGCAGTACAAATTTGACTGTGGAAGTGGCCCTGGGATTGTCTCTGTTCAAAGCATCCAAGTCAATGACGGGCAGTGGCATGCAGTGTCCCTTGAAGTGGAGGGCAATTATGCTAAATTGGTTCTCGATGAAGTCCATACTGCATCAGGCACAGCCCCAGGGGCCCTGAAAACCCTGAACCTGGATAACTATGTGTTTTTTGGTGGCCACCTCCGCCAGCCAGGAGCAAAGCATGGAAGAAGCACCCAAATTGCCAATGGTTTCCGGGGCTGCATGGACTCTATTTATTTGAATGGGCAGGAGCTGCCTTTGACTAGCAAACCAAGAGCCTATGCACACATTGAAGAATGGGTAGATATATCTCATGGATGCTTATTAACAGCCACGGAAGACTGCTCCAGTAACCCTTGTCAAAATGGAGGCACTTGCAATCCCTCACCTACTGGAGGTAGGCATCTTAAAGCTGTAGTCTCTCAGATGTTACCCGTGTGTCCATTTAAAAGCATTTTCTCAAGTAGAGTTGGTGTACCTCCTTTTACTCAATGATGTCATTACTTCTTGTGCTCAGCACAGGTAGTGTAGTCAGAATTAAGTAGCATGGCTGTAACCTTGGGCTAGTCTGAGGGGCCAGTGTGGTTTTACCATGTTCTTTTCTCTCCCGTTGCAGTGACCATGGCCAAAAATAAACTAGGGCCATGTCCAGCCTTTAAGGGAACAGAGACAAACTGTCTTGCCATGTTCCCTAAAGGCATGTTTTTGGAAATTATAATTGTGGGTGTAAACACGTTATTGAATGGTATTGCTTGTGTGTATGTTTACCAATGTTCCGTATATTTGACCCACTAACCTTATGTAACTATCATTAACTAAATCAAGTCACAAATACTATCTCACTTCTCTGTTTAGCTTATGCAGGATAAACATGCTAAATTTTAAAATCCAACATCTAGCGCTCTCTCTCTCCCTCCCTCTCTCTCTCCCTCTCTCTCTCTCTCTCTCTCTCCCT